TGTGGAAAGACTTGAGTTAAGGGGGATGTTGGGGGGTTTGGGGGAGTGGTGGAGGGGATGTGGGTGCTGTGGGTGGATTTGTGCAGAGGCTCAGGTGGGGCCACTGCACACCTGCCTCCCCTCCACCCTCTGTGGTGCCAGAGGCAGCAGCCAGCACAACTGTGGCCTGGTTGCAGGCACAGCCGGCAGTGACATGTTGCTGCGTGACCCGGGCTCTCCACATGCTGAATGGATGTGGCCTGGCCCAGCCTCTTACCACATAGCTTTCTCGGTCCTGTCCAAAGTCATGCACCAGGGGGCCAGGCAAGGCCAGGTCCATTCAGGATGTCATGCCAAAGCCATGCTCTCAGGGGGCACTGGACCAGGAGGCATGGCTTCAGGACACATGGCTCCTATGCAAAGGCACACTGGCTTTGCAGCTGGGCTGGTGGGGGATATTTTCCATGAGGGTCAGGCAGTGATGCACAGCCACAGCGCTATGCCTATAAAATTCCATGGCATATCACTGCCTGAGCCTTGTGGAAAATGTGCCCTGCCAACCCGACCTGGCCTCACTCAGTCCAGGCCACACAGCTAGCATGCCTCTAGACAGGAGCCATGCACCCCAGAGCTGTGCCTCCCATTACTGTGCAAAGGCACAGCACCAAGCCACACTGGGCTGGGTCCTACCATGCGCTTCCTCCCTGCACACACCACAGGTCTGGCAGCACTCCTGCCAGAGGCAAGACTCAGCCTGGCATGACACCAAGTCCCTGTGAGTGGTGCAGGGCCCTAGGTGACAGTGCGAGCAGCCCAGGGCTGCCTGAAGGTTCACAGCCCCATGCCGTGCCATGCTACACTGAGCCGGACCCACCATGAGTGGCACAAGTGGCACCGGCTTGGAGGCAATCGGGACTGTGCCACACCCACACTGCTGGGGACTCTGGCCACAGCAGGCCCTGAGCACCCAACAGCTGCTGCTGGTGCAAAGGTGAGTTGTGGGCCCTGCAGGGGGGAGTGGGGACTGGGACCCTGCAGGGGAGGGGCAGTCCATGTGCTGTGCAGGGGAGCTGCAACCTGTGGGAGAGCAGGGGACCCACCCCTCCTGAGCAGCCCCCACACACAGCCACCCCACACCCACAATCCACCCACATCCCCAAGCCACCCCCAGAAATCCCTTACCTACATACTCAACCCCAAACCCCCGCACAAGCCCCATACCTCCCCAAACCTCACTGCCACAAACCCTACACCCACCCACAAACTCCCCCAACCCCTCCAAATTGTTCTACACTTATAAATATATCAATAAAACATATAGTGGTGTTTCATTTTAATAGTGGAAGAACAGTATTTTGGGTATTTTAATGAGACAATTTGTTATGCCCAAATGGCATAGTGGGGGTTCCCCATCTGGGTCTGGTAGGGGCACAACTTTGTGGCCACAGGTTCAAGGGGCAGATGCTGTCACAGGTGACAGCAGGTCATATCCAGGGAACAGCTCCCACTGCCAGGCTGCTACAGTAGGTAGAGGGGGCAGGGGCAACTCCAGGTTAGGGCTGCTTCAGCAATCCAGCTGGCACAAGGGAGAGTGTCCCCAGATAACAAGTGGCTGGGCCTCAGAAGCTCTTGTCTATTTGTCCATTCAATTACCGTGGGCTGTATGGCCCACCCGGGTAGCTAGTAGCCCATTTTCATGGGGGCTAATGGATGAATGGAACAACTAAATTCTTCAGACAACAAAGGCAAAAACAGGATAGGAATGACATGAGAGTCAATGAGTCAAAACATGAAAATGAGTGCTTCTGAGGGGGACACTGAGCAGAGGCCCCTGGGCCACACCCATTGGTCCTCAAAGTCATCTGAGGAGCCAGTGGACACTGCCTGGTGGTGTTCCACTCAGAGGTATGTGCAGACCAGTGGCAGGAAAATAGCCCCACAGTCCCCGAGCACCATCCCAGCCAGAACTTCTTTCCTGGTCATGTACAGGAACCACTTGGCCAGAACCAGGAGGAGGTTGACCAAGAGGTCCTGGGACTTTGTGGGGCCATGGATGGGGTATCCAAAAATTAAAAGTTCATCCAAAACCTAAGAAGGAGGTTCCACCAGTTGAGAAGGACCTCAGAAGGATGAGGGTGGAGCATGAGCGAAGCCACTGGGGCACCTCAGAAGCACCTGTACATTTGTATTCTTCATATTCACATGGGTCTTAAGGCACACCACCCATCTAACTAATAGTCCCCACAGTGTGGGGTCAAAGGGTGAAAGATACAACTTTTTTTTTGGACAACTAAGGAAAAAAACAGGATAGGAGTGACATGGGGGTCAAAGGGTCAAAACATGAAAATAAGTGTGCCTGAGGGGTACACCAAGCAGAGCCCCCACCGGTCCTCAAGGGTATTCAAAAAGTGGGTGGACACTGACAACTGGTGCTCTGCCTGGAAACATGCATGAACAAGTGAGAGGAATGCAGCGCCACGGTCCCCAGGCACCTTCCCAACCACAGCCTCCTTCCTGGTCATGTACAGGGCCCACTCCACCAGGGCGAGGAGGAGGTTGACCAGGAGGCCCTGGGACTCGGTAGGGCTGTGGACGGGGTGCCCAAAAATAAAAAGGTGGGGGGTAAAGTTCAACCAGAACTTCAGAAGGAAGTTCTGGAGGTGGAGGTGGAGGGGCTGGACCCTGGTGCGCTCAAGTGTCATGTGTACAAGGTTCTCCCTCTGCCCACAGAAGGGGAAAGGGACCAGAGTGTCTGTGAAGCTTACCACATTCATGCCCATGGCAACAGCTCCACGGAGGAGCTGCGAGCTGAGGTCCCCAGTGGCTTGTGGGATGAGGGTGTAGTACAGGCTCAGCCACTGGGACACCTCAGAAGTTCCTGTCTATTTGTATCTTCCATATTAATGTGGGCCTTAAGGCCCACCCAGATAACTAATATCCCCTCTGTGGGGCCAAAGACTGAAAGATACTACTAACTGGGACAACAAAAGCAAAAACAGGATACGAGTGATGTGGGGGTCAAAGGATCAAAATGTGAAAATAAGTTCTCTGGAGGGGGATACTGAGCAGAGCCCCCTGGGCTGCACCCACCATTCCTCAAAGGCATCCAAAGAGCTGGTGGACACTAGCCAAGTGAGAGGAAAGTGGCACTGCAGTCTCTGGGCACCTTCCCAGCCAGAGCCTCCTTCCTGGTCAAGTACAGGGCCCACTTGGTCAGGGCCAGGAGGAGATTGACCAGGAGGTCCTGGGACTTGGTGGGGTCATGGATCGGGTGACCAAAAACAAATAGGTGGAGGGTGAAATTCAACCAGAACCTCAGGAGGAGGTTCTGGGGATGGAGGTATAGGGGTGCTCAAGGGTCATGTGTGCCAGGGTCTCCCTCTGCCCACAGAAGGGGAAGGAGACCAGAGTGTCCATGAAGCTCGCCACATACACACCTGTGGCAATGGCTCCATGGAGGAGCTGTTAGCTGAGGTCCCCAGTGGCTCATGGGATGAGGGTGCAATACAGGATCAGCCACTGGGGCATCTCAGATGCTCTGTCTATTGGTATCTTCCAGATAGCATGGGCTTTAAGGAGCACCTAGTTAACTAATAGCCCCCACTGTGTGGGACCAAAGTTTGAAAGATGCAACTGATATTTTTTTTTTTTTGGGTGGGGCAACTAAGGAAGAAAAGGGTAGTAGTGATGTCAGGGTTAAAGGTTTAAGATATGAAAAGAAGATATCCAGATTGGGACACTGAGCAGAGCCCCATGGGCCGCACACACCAGTCCTCAAAGGCATCCAAGGAGCCGGTGGATACCGCCCATCGACGCTCTGCCCAGAAACGTGTACAGACAAGGGAGACGAAAGTGGCTCCGCAGTCTCTGGGCACCTTCCTGGCCAGAGCCTCCTTCCTGGTCAAGTACAGGGCCCACTTGGCTAGGGCTAGGAGAAAGTTAACTAGGAGGTCCTGGAACTTGGTGGGGCTGCAGATGGGGTGACCAAAAACAAAGATGGGGGGTTAAATTCAACCAAAATCTTAGGAGAAGGTTCTGGAGGTGGAGGGGCTGGACCCTGGTGCACTCAAAGGTCATGTGCTCCAGGGTCTCCCTCTGCTCGCAGAAGGGGCAGGAGACCAGGGTGTCCATGAAGCTCACCACATACATGCCTGTGGCAATGGCTCCATGGAGGAGGTCCCCAGTGGCTTGTGGGATGAGGGTGGAGTACAGGCTCAGCCACTGGGGCACCTCAGAAGCCCCTCAGGACAAGTAATCCTGAGCTGCTTGCCAGGACACGTTTTTATACTGCTAGAACCACACAGGTGCTGGCTGGCCCCAGGCTCTAGCTCCCCCTGGCTGCAGATCAGGGAGGAGCTGGGCAGGGTTATTTTGCCCCAAATGGCACAACTTGCCTCACACCAAAGTGCATGTCCTGTCACATGTGCTGAGGCAAAAACCCCTGGCTTAAATTTGTGTCACTCCTACTTGAGCTGCTGCAAGTGCATGGGACTGTATGTGTGGATGTGCCCTTTGAGGCAATTTTAGTGTTGTCCCATAATCTAATAAGGTGAAGTTTCCTTTCCTATTACTTCTGTGGATTGCCTCAGTATCCTGCTGAATTATTTAACATGGGTTTGAAGGCCCAGCTTTTGTAGCCATTTAGGATGGACTGATTTAAAGTGATATAAACCAGCATTATAGAAACCTTAGATTAAATAACCAGTTTTAATATTGCCTTGTGTTTGTACTCTTTCATGATTACCCTGCAGAAAGTTTCCCACTGGTTGGTATAATTTTGGTACTAGTTGCTACCCAGGTTATATCAACTGACATTTATGTAAGTGGCTATATTGCACAACAAAGCTTTTCTCCAGAATATTATCTTAGGAAAGATGAATGGTGTATTACTTATTTACTATGTTATTTATGTCTACTGCATTGAAATGAAAATTAGAATTCAATTAAAACGAATATAATTTTTAAAGCTTTTTATTATGTAAGTAAATGTCCCTGATAAATAAAGGGAAAAAGTTATTAACAGGTGGCCTTAAAGTTAACTGATTTATTAAGCAAAGAAAGTATTTTGCTCATTTAGTTTTTTTATCTGATTCTGTCCGGTCATCCTGTAGTATACCTCATCCTTACATACCATATCTTTATTCAGAATTTGGTATCCTGCTCTTTCAACTCCTGATAGATTTCTCAACTTTAATAGCTGGAATGGAGAAAATACTTTCGGCATCAGCAACAGAGGCTACAGCTGTCAGAAACTGGTTTAGGCTTCAGCTAATTTTGATTTTATGGGTTTAGTCAGTATTCCTTCAGCTCAATGGTCTGTCACTTGTTGAAACTTTGGCAGCAATTATGTATTACTTGGTTTATTTAATTTAAATACATTTGAATGCAGTCAGATGTCAGAATATCAAATTTAATTCTAAGATTTTTAATATACTGAAATAGAATAAAACACATTTGACCTTGACAGAGAAGGGGTTGGATAAAGTGTTATCGTGAAGTCCTTTCCTGTGCCACTTGTCTATGATTCTGTCATCCTGTCTTTAAATTTTTTTAAGCCTTTTTTCCCACATCCTTATGGTTAACTGGTATAGAAGAATGTAAAAATATACAAATAACTTACGTTTACATCTAGATTATATTCCTTTAAAGCCTGGGTTTTATTTATTAAGTTTTGTTTGGTGGCTTCTTCTCTGAGAGGTGGGAGGGAGGGATACCATAGGCCATGAATAGATGTTCATTTCTACTAGTGGAAATTTCTCAGAAATCCTGCTTAAGGAAGGAACAATACAGACTTTCAGTCCGTATCTTCCCCCTGCCCCTGCTCTCTGTGCCCTGTATAATCAAGTACTAAATAAATGCACAGTAACCAGACTTACTGTGTAGTAGTACCGGTGGATGTCTTTTAAAGTGATACTACTGCACACTTGGCTAATAATACTGCACAGTAGTGTATTAGCACTGTCTCTGCTGTGACGCACTACTGCACACTATTATTTGGCTATTGTGCAGTCAGCATCTCACGTAGATGCACCCAGTGAGAACCAGGTGGGTAGCAGCTAATGGAGATTCCCCTAGTAAACTGAATGTCTGCATATAGTCATATTCTACAGGTGTGGAAATTGTTCTTCATTAACAAATCCATGTGTTTCTGTTTCCTAAACTTAGCAACTGCCTAATAACTGCTGAGCAATACTACCACTTTCCCCCCATTTTTTTCCAAACTTATCTGTGAAACTTTTAATAATGAATAAGTCTAAAGATTGCAAGAAGAATATACCTTTAAGATAGATAGTAAAATCTAGTTCAGGTCATTATAACCTCCATTTTTATTAATTAGGCTGTGGGTGTCCTGTGGCCTTCTGACATTCATGCAAATATCATTAGCCAGCACTGTTCCTCTGTGACAGTCATATTGCTACAGTTAAATCCCAGATTGGTTATTTGCATTCAATTTGGCCCAACTCTTTCTGTTCAGAAGTGGCATTGACACAATGCTGCAGATTAGGAGCGAATGACCTTAGCTCTAAAATACCTTGCGCAATCCCTTTGTCTGCTTGCTTGGTTCTAAAAACCTGCTATTAGTTTTTCGTCACACACTTAATGTTTTGTTTTTGTACAGCCATGAAACAAGGATAAGGACTTCAAAGTGCTAAATAGTATAAACATACAAAAGAACCTGATAGTCCTCTACTCAAAGAGCTACATTCTGATTTAAGGCAATAGGTAGGTAAAGCAGACTCAAGAGAGGGATCATAAAGTAATAGTGAGATAAATATGAGCAGTCTGATCCACAGCAGTCACAGCACACAAGCTGCCTAACCACTGTTGAGTCTTTTGAAGGAATTATGGTCATATGCAAGAAGCTGGGAGGCATAACAGCCCAGGTAAGAGTATTAAGGAGAGGTCTGAAGGACAACAATATTAAGGTTTTGCGGGTATGAACAAGGAGCTTCTTTTATACATAAAGGGAAAAAGGAAAACGTTTTCAAAATATAAAATAATTTCAAAGCCTACTCACAACTAAAATAAAAAGGTAGACATGTCTGAATACATTAATAGAGTCATTTAAGACCAGGAAGGACTATTCGTAGCATTTTGCCTGACTTTTTACATACCACAGATCAAAGAATGTTACCCAGTAAAAATGGTCTTGCAATGTTGACTACCTTGCATTAATTAGGTGTTCACACAACCTAAAGCTATCCCAGTAAGCCAAAAACCCATGGAAATACAGGAATTTAGAGGACACAGACCTGCTAGTAGCTGAGAAAGGCAATCATATCTGATCTCTTCCAAAGAAAAAAATTCTACTTGGCAGATTATGAAATGGCTCTGGTTTTTGTGAATGCTGCAAATGGTTCTGACCTATTTTTTTAAAAACATCATCACCACATACATAGACTGCTAAAGAAGCAGAAAAAATAAATGTGTTCCCTTGGATGCAGAGTGCATGTGAAAGCTTTTATGTTTTTAAAATGCTTTCTTTTAGAGGATGTTTAATAAATGCAGAAGATGGGAAAGGCAGAATTCCCTCCTTCCCCACTCCCCTTCAAAGTCAAGATAATAAAAAAATGCTTCCTATAGAAATGAGCTACAATAGATTCCAAGAGTTCAGTGACTTTGAAGACAAATGCACAGCCATAATACACAATAGTTCACATTCAACATTGGATGCAATAATTATTTTAATGAGCAAGATAATGGTTAGTCAGGACACTGGGGTTAGACTGTTACTGTATCAGAGAAAAGCTTTGTGATTTTTAACTTCAACATAGACAGTCCCCAAAAAGGGACAGAAAGGGCCTACATTTAATGGTCTGACAGCTAACATATTTAATACACAAGAACACAATGTCCACCAGGCACTGTCCCATTCACTAAATACAAAACTATGAATCACAACATCCCAATGGAGTACTGGTGCTTCAAAGGAATACTATCTTCTACTCAAGCAAAAAAGCTGTAGCAAAATTCAAAAAATGAATTAAATATATAGTTCAAAGCATTTATACACAATGAACTCTCTTTGGCTAAATGCAAACTTGTCACACCTCACATATTAATGCATAAGTACCTTAATCTCCATTGTGTCTTTGCATAGTTATTTGCAACTGTGCAAAGAAAGTAAGAAAATGTTAGCATCTCACAATAATAGATTTGTATTCACCATGGACAAGCCACAAAAGCAAATGCCAAGGCAGGGCAGAATTAGGGCCAAATGTAATACTCCTAGGATTTTTGCCTCTCTCTGCTTTTCCCTTTGTTGGCTTTAAAAGCTGGAAAAGACTGCATCACCTCACTTGTTTGTGAGACACTGGAAAACATAGGCCTACTCTTAGGCCAGATCCTGGTCATTAAGGGCACCTACACACGTGCCTGATGCCTGCTCCAAAGCATGCAAATTAGTATGCATCAGAGCAGACTCTATTAATCACTAATTAGCACACTCCAGCAGCCTTGTCATCACGTGTATTCAGCATCCCCATGCTTCTTTTTTCCCATTTTCTTTTTTTTTTCTATCTGTAGCTTTTATGTTTTTGTCAACCTTTATCTAGTCAGGCTGTGACACTCCCACAGATATATTATGAAGTACTAAAAGATGTCACACTAGGCTAACTTCACATTACTACATATTTAAAAGAATCATTTATGTAGCAACAGCTAGTACATATTCCTAAAACTTTCTACTCTAGTATATGCATATAAGAGAAGCCATTGAAAAAACACTCATAAACCTAAATCATTTTACCTCCTACCTTCCAATCTCATCTTCAGGCTTTCAGCATTCTAAGAAGAAATCATACTCCTAGAAAAGAGTGTTGTAGTATATAGAAACTATAAAAGGACTCATTACATGCTCATTTTGAAAAAACAATGTTGACTTTTATACCTCCAATGTAGGAGGTACTGTGAAGAATCTGCAATTACCCGCATGTGAAGAGGTGTCCATTTTCTCCACTTTGATTCCCGATTTTGAAAACTTCAGTAATCCTCCAGCTGCTTTTCTGCTGAAGGAGGTGTTACAAACCAATGACCTGGGTTCTGTTACAGGAATGAGAAATGAAAAGAAGGATTAGAGGGTAAAGTTAAAATGTATCTCTATTCCTGAACATAATGATCCAAATATGTTATGCTTTGTCTTAGAGCAGGACAGTCCAACTTCTAAGTGACCAGGGGCCACATGCCCCAGAGGGCTTCACTAGCTGGAGCCATGCTAGTGGGAGCCATGGACCATAGGCCCCTGTGACTGCATACCACATGCCTTCCCACTGCACCATCTCCCTACTGCTCTCCACACCACATCTTCTGATACACAACACATCCTGGTACCCCCAGTCCTGCTGCACTACATGAGCCCCTAGCTGCCCCCTCCTCCACTGCACTGCATGTCCAGCCACCACCCCACTGCACCATGCACCCAGGTGCTCCCCTGATGCATTGTGCACCTGAACAACTCCCAGTTGCACAACATACTCAAGCATGGCCTGCTCCATGCCTCTCAGGTGCCCTGAGCCACAGGCTTCCTAAATACTGCAGGCTACACATTGCACTGCCCTCCCCAACTTTGAGGAAGGGAAGTGGAAGGTGGAGGGAGAAAGAGGTCAGAGCCCTCAGCTGCTTCTGCAGGCAGAGCAATCAGGGAGTAACAGCCGGGTGGTAGCTTAGGGGTTGCAATTTAACCTCTATTTGCCACCAGCTGGGCAGCCCTGGTCTCAGAGAATTCAGTGCTTACTGAAATCTTTCCAAAACTGAGTCAGAAAAGAATTGCTGATACTTATTTCTCTGCATTGAGGTAGAGCTGATGTTTGGCCTTAATGAAATGGAGCCTGCCCTACTTTAGATTCCTTAATGGGCCTGTTTTTTAGTAACTTTTTTGAACTCAGCCTCTGAAGTTGAAGATATTAAGGTACCCTGTAGAATAACTTAAAATAACAATACATTTAAATTGGTTCTTTCTGCCTAGGCTAGCAATGCATTACATTTATTCCCAGTAACAGTATTTTTTCATGTACATTGTAGTTAAGGGATCCCAAAATGATAGAGAAACTACGTGCAGAATCCCTGACTGCAGCTCTTACAGACGTGAAGGACAGTGGCCATGTATAGATAGTATGCACCACAAGAGTAGAGAAAAATGAGGCACTGTGGCTATGAATTATGGGGCAAACTATTACTGGTGGAAATAAAGATACCATAGGAATGAAAAGATGCAACAGGAATTTAAGACTTTCTGCAAATCTATTAGGATTTTAGTGCCACATGCAGGAGACAAAGAACTATATTTTCAATGGTATTTATTGGCAGAAAACTACAGATAGATGATTAGTGGTATTTGCAAGTGCTTAAGATAGTTAAACAGCTAACTTAAAATTGATCTCAATGGAAGCTAGTGACCTCACATATTCAGAAAGCTTTGAAAATTCCATTTGGTTCCTCTGTATTTCTAGGCACCAAAAATATTGAAAAGACCCGAAAGAAACTGTTGTAATTTCCCTTGGAAAATTAAAGGGATCAGGCAATACCAGGAGCAAAAAGCCTCAGAATTGATATCTAAGCAATCAAACTATGCTCTTCATAACAGACCAAGTTACTTATGGAGAAAAACTGAGCTTTTAGAACTGTGACTGTATATATTTCAAAATAGCTGAGACTTAGTAAACATGCAGGAAATGTACATATCCAAAAAAGATTGTAATATTATGTTATGCAATGAATGACTTGCTTTCCCCGTGGAGAGAAGGACTTCTTCTCTGTGTATGGAGGGCATGCATATTCTTCTTTACTCCGGACTATGAGTCCACTACTGACAAAATAAACTCTCCTCCCCCACTTGCATTAGCAATTGGGTTGAGTAGTGCCCTCAGGGCAGGCCTGAATGTGTCCTCCAGTGATGTGCTCATGCCTTCTGCCTGGGGAGAGCCTTACAATGGTGCTAAGGGGTATGGGGGAAGGCACCCAGGTCCCCTTCGAGCCACTTGAGATCATTCCAAAGCTGTCTACGCTACCTAATTACCGGTTTCTAATAACCCAAAGTATGAGCAAACAGTCAGAGTTTATTTTGTCTGTGGTGGATCTTTGTTTTTGATGAAGGCTTTATAGACATAATGTAGTGTTCACCCCTATACAGACTGGTACAAAGACATGACCCTGACAAAATATATGGCTGGTGGTTGTGTATGACAAAATGTAATGGAAAACTTGTAGGAACAGAGGAACAGTGCCAAAGGAAATGTTAAAAAGATTGTCCTTAGTGACAAAGGGAGCTTCATTTTTACTACATAAGTACTGTATTACAAAAGCAGTTCTGGACTTCCTTGGGACTACTATGAATATGTTTATAATATGATTAGCCAGGCAAAGCATTCCTAAAGTGCTGCATCATTAGTCTTGTGACTGTTATACTGCTGTAGTGGGACCTCTTAGACTTCTAGTGGGCTGAAATAGCACTACTTGTAAGTGTACTTATATCTTACTTCGAATGAAGCGAGACTTGCCAGCTGGTGGCATGAGGCCTGAAGGATGATATTAGTGTTACAGATAATGACAGATTTTTACTGGCTTTACTTCTTCTAGCTCAGCTGGTAGCACTGCGATATTTTTAATCCCATGGTTCAAAATAGTTCCCTCTCCACCAAAAACAATACAAGACACTTAGCTGATCAAACTGAGGACATTAATGCACATTTGTGAATCACTAATATGGTTCTCTCAAGGGAGTTGTGAAAGTATTACTATAGGACTACCAAACATGGTGCTGTACCAGAATGGCTAGGAGTTCTGGAGACATCTAGATTTGCATTTTCTTTGTAGTTTCATTAACATAATTGGAAAACAGATTTAATTAGTGTCTTAACACCATTAATGTTTTATTTTTACTCTCTTAATTTCTAAAGAGGCATTTTGCACTTGAGTAAGGTACTGAACTGCCATTCCCCTAGAAAAAAGTTTTTTGTATCTGCACAACTGAAAGAGCAAAGGAAGTGTTAATACAAGTCTTTCATTCAGGCAAGTAACATTTTTGAAGGTGACTGGTGGTTTCAAGTGCTGCATTTTTTTAACGCCCAGATGAATATTAGCACGTTAAAAGGGCATGTTTTTCTGAAGAGAAGCTCTCAGAAATTTTATAAATAATAAATTGTTTCAAACCAGGCACTGAAAATCACTAGCCATTTTTGAAAATCCTGGCTATTACTTCTGTGGTTTAGGAGACACTTGAGTCTCTGTGGCACATCTCTGAGAAAAACATCTTTTTGGTGATGTTCCTTTTTACAGTTCATACAGAACTGTACTTCATGCAAATATGGTATTCTCTCTGTTTTAATTTATTAAGGCAGAAATGCAGGTTTGTTAAATTAATGATCCTGAAAATGTTTGCTTTTCTAAAAAAAATATGAAAATCAATTTATGCTTTCTGCACAGCTATATTTCATGTGTGGCTTTATTTTTTAATCTCTCAACATGGACATCATTTTGATCCTGAACAACCAAATTGTATTCTGTCATGGAATCCTTGCGTTTTTGGACCAGACTGCCAAGTGACACTACACATGAAGATTTTGCTAGTCTATTAAAAATCTGCAGTCCCATTTCATGCAGGACTTCAAACAACAAACAGATGGTAACTATGTTCAGTCATGAATTATTTTAGAGCACCAAATCATGGGTGGTCTGGCATAGGAATTGGTCTCTGTGGGAGAGATGAGGATCCCAGAGCTAATTACCCAATCTGGAGGAAGATCCTGGAGCAGCATCTCTAATGTGAGATCAGGTCAGAGTCCAGAAAGTCAGAAGCTGAGCTTCCAAGTCCAGTGGGGAAACCCACAGGTCAAAATCCACACACAGAGCTAAGCCAGGGGTCAAGATCAGAACCCAGATCCATAGGGGAAATCCAAAGCAACAGTCTGAGGAAAAGCTAATGACTAGAGTCAGGAACCAGGAAAACCAGAGATCTCAAGCAGAGCCAACCCTAGGGG